CCAGCACTCCCGGGTCAACTACAGCACGGGTTACCGACACAGTAAAGCCTCCTCTACGACAAGGTCCCACAAACTACCACGACGTGAGCGGGAAGATGGATGTGGGATAATGGAAGGACAGGTAGAGACAATGCTATTTTGCACATTACCAAGTGCCAGCCTGACTCAGGCAGTAGCACTTTCACCACTGAATCAGAACGTGATGAGTTCAAGCCCTACGTGAAGACTTTGATCAGACTGTCTGGTACTCCAATGTAAAGCTGAACAAGTGCTGCATTGTGTCAGTGTCATCCTTTTAATGAGTCTTTAAGGAAATTTAAATAAGATGGATGCTCGTGTGAAAGTGAGTGTAAATAAGGTACTGATGTGTGAAAGTACATCTGGTGCACTTGTTATCTTGTTATTGTACAAGGAACAGAACTGGGACAGGAATGTGAATCACCCCCACTCTGCTGTCTGAAGGTTGGGAGAATTCCTGTGGTGGGAAACCTACTAATACATACACAAAAGTGATTGAGATTTGAGGTATTTTAGTCAGTGGCGAGATGCAGATCTGACTGACTCGCAGCTGCCCTCCCAGGAGGTATGGTGACTGATCAATAGCTCGGTCACTCAACCACGACTGTTTGTAAGACACTGCTGTGTACAATTGACTGCCGTATTTCGCCCAAAATACACAGTCACTGCACTTAACAGTGTATTCTGTGAAGCGCTTTGAGGAGTCTCAACAAAATGATAAGGTAGTGTATCAAATGCAAGGATGATTATTGTTATTAGTTCTTGAAAACTTGCTTGTTCCGTTATCTAGTGGATCTTTTCTCTTTGTACAATCATTGGCTGTGGAACAAAAACAACAACTTATATGAAGCCCTTCACACAGAGCGCTTGCCTGTTACTGAGAGGTCTAAGGTTTTGGGGCGCAGCGGCTGAAAGCATGGCCGCCGATGGTGGAGCAGAGGAGGCAAGGGATGAGCAGGATGGAGGCAGCAGATAGCAGAATGGGGAGAAAGCAGGTCGGAAAGGTAGGGAGGTGCCAGGGAGTGAAGGGATTTGTAGACGAACTGTCATGAAGGATAAACAAATTATACAATAAACTAGCGCAAAGGAAACAATTGTTTAACATCCAAAGTTTGTGCAGACGACTTCATCATTAGTTAAATAATACATACAAAGTTTCCTTACAGGTCGAGGTCCCATCAGCCTGTTCGGGCGGATGTTAAAGAACCCATGGCACAATTTGAAAAGAGAAGGGAGTTTCTCTCTCCCGCTGTCCTGGCCAACAAATTCCCCAAATAAAAATTGGTCACTCACTCCACGGCTGTTTGTGGAACATTACTGGGTGCATTTGTGCTGCCAAATTCCCATAGACTTTAGACACAACAACAGCAACAAAATTACATTTATAGAGAGCCTTTCACGTTGGGAGGACATCCCAAAGCACTGAACAGTCAAATGTTGGGGCCCGAGCATGGGGGAGGGGTGGTGGAGGGAAGGCAGAGAGGTGGGAGGGAGACCAAAGGCACGATTGAAGAGAAGGGTCTTGAGACCGGCCTTGAAGGAGGCGAGGGAGGAAGCGAGGCGAAGGGACCGTGGGATGGAGTTCCAGAGTGTGGGGGCAGAGAGGCTGAAAGCCCGGCCACCGATGGTAGGGCAGGTCGGGTGGAAGACATGGAGCAGCCGGAGCCTGATGAACGGAGGGAGTGGGCAGGTTGGTAGGGAGTCAGCAGGTCAGAGAGGTAGGAGAGGGCAAGGTCATGGATGGCCTTAAAGGTGAAGATGAGGATGTTGAACTCGATCCTCTGGGGGATGGGGAGTCAGTGGAGTCGGGCGAGGGTGGGAGTGATGGGATCACGGAGCCTGGTGCGCGAGAGTACATGAGCTGCAGAATTTTGGATGATCTGCAGTTTGTGAAGGGAAGAGTTGGGAAGGCCGATTAGGAGGGAGTTCCCATAATCGAGCCTTGATGTGACGAATGCGTGGGTGAGGGTTTGGGCAGCCTGAGGGGTGCGGCAGTGGCGGAGTCTGGCAATGTTGCGGAGGTGGTGGTAGGCAGTGCCAGTCATGGCGCAGATGTGGGGGAGAAAGGACAGTTGAGGGTCAACTGACTGGCTTAGTGAGGTTGAGTGTGCAGACGTGGAGGCTGATGCTGCCGGCGCCCGAGGTGCGGAGGCGCTGACGCGAGCCAATCAGGAGAGCCTTGGTCTTGCTGACATTGAATTGAAGAAAGTTGGCCCTCGTCCAGGAGACTGGACACAGTCACTACACTTCACAGTAAATGTTTTGAACTGCTTTGAGATGTCTTTCCTTCATGATAAGGCACTATACCAATGCAAGTATTATTATATTATTATACTCCCGATACTGACCAGCTGGGTCAAGGCTGCTGCATTGCTAATGTCATTGAATCGCTCAGGATAAGAATTTAGCCTCTTATTATAGCCTCCGTGCTGGGCAAATGCTGCTAACTCTGCTTTCTATATTCAGTGCACGTCACTTCCATATTACCACAACAACAAACAACAACAAGCTGCATCTGTACAGTGCCTTTCACATCAGGAGATGTCCCAAGGTGTCCAAGGGAGCAGACAGGTTGGTACCATTTTATTAAGTTACACAGGTAATGAGGAGCAAGACCGTGAAGGGCTTTGAAAGCAAACACGAGGATTTTGAACTCGATCCTCTGGAGGATGGGGAACCAGTGGAGTCGGGTGAGAATGGGGATGATAGGGTCACGGAGCCTGGACCAGGAGAGGACACGAGCTGCAGAGTTCTGAATATCTGCATCTTATGGAGGGAGGAGTTGGGAAGTCCAGTGAGCAGGGAGTTAGCATAGTCAAGTCTGGACGTAATGAGCCCATGGATGAGGGTTTCAGCAGCCTGAGGGGAGAGATAATGGTGGAGATGGGCAATGTTGCGGGAGATGGTGTAAGGCAGAATGGGTCATGGCACAGATGTGGGGTTTAAAGGACAGTTGAGGGTCAAACAAGACACTAGTTCTGTTCTGGCCCCGTGAGGTGGAGAGTACATCCATGAATAGTGATGCTGTCAGCGCCTTTTTTTTGGTCAGCAGCCGGGTGTCTGACTCATGTGGAAACTCATACATTAAAAATATCCAAACCAAACTGAGAATTCCAGGCATCCCACCTACACATGGAAATCCCAGAGGCAGATTGTTGGGATGGAATGCGCACTCTCGCTCAATGAGTGAGGCTGTGTTGTCATCAGCAGTGCCCTGGAATACTGCAGACCCACCCGGCTCAGGATCCGGACTACCAAGAGCACCACAGAGACCTGGCTCGATTCTGACATTCCATTGCCAAACATGTCACCGTAGAACCAGTTCAATCCAAGAAGGAGGTGCTGATGGGAGCCAAGCAGAAAAGGATATAGAGGCACTAGAGAAGATGTACAGGAGATTTACGAGGATGATACCGGAACTGCAGAGTTATACCGATCAGAAAACGTTGAACAAGCTTGGAGTCTTCTCTTGAAAAGAAAAGGGTGAGGGGTGACCTAATAGAGATCTTTAAAATTATGAAAGATTTTGATAGCGCAGACATAGAGAAGATGCTTCCACTTCTGAGGGAGACCAAATCCAGGGGCCAGAAACATTAAAGTCACCAATAAATCAAACAGGGAAGTCAGAAGAAACTTCTTTACCCAAAGAGTGGTGGGAATGTGGAACTTGTTACCACAAAGAGGAGTTGAGGCGAATAGCATAGATACATTTAAGGGGAAGCTAGATAAGCACATGAGGGAGAAAGGAATAGAAGGTTATGCTGATAGGTTTACTTGAGGAAGGGCAGGGGGAGGCTCATGTGGAGCATAAACTGGGGCATAGACCAGTTGGGCCAAATAGCCTGTTTCTATGCTGTATATTCTATGAAATTCTAGAAGACCCTCAGTCTTGTCGACATTCAACTGAGAAATTTACTGTGGCATAATCCCCACACGACATATTATCCCTTTCAAAAAGCCCAAACTGCGGGGCGGTGGGAGAGGGATTATAGAGGTGACTAACACGGAGCCCTCTAGCTTGCCTCTCTCTCTTGATCCACTTATTTCCGCCCCTTTCCCACACCCACACACACACCTTTACACACTCCACCAATACAGCTTCCATCAGGGAAACACCTCTGACAGTTACAACACAACGATCACAAGAATCATTATAGTTATTTATGAACACACACACGTACACAAGAAGAGATATTTACATTTACAGCACAATTTTTTTTACATTTTCACCACCGTACTTCACAGACACTGTACAGCACTGATGAGCCTCATTATATATTTATAGGAAATACAAAAAATATACACTTCCTCTCTTAAAACATCACCGTACAACTCTCTACGTATTGCTTAGTTATTGACAATGATTTGCCTTTTTTTGGGGGGGTGGGGTGTGAGTTTGAGGAAGAGGAGGGGCAGCTGTGGAAATTTAAGTGATGAATTTGATAAAATTAGAATACAGTACAGGGTTAGTTAGAATATCTATTCACAATACAAAATTTATATTTATGTACAGTTTGGTATCTTTCACGTCAGGAGCAAATAATCCTTACATTTGATATAGAGCCTTATCACGTCGTTCAGACATCTCAAAGCATTTGAACAACAATAACAACAACTTGGATTTATATAGCGCCCTCCACGCCGGACGACGTCTCAGAGCACATCATAGTAACGGATCCTGGGACCATGGGGCGTGTGGGGGTGGGGGGGTCCGAGCCAGGGGTAGGGGGTGGAAAGTAACCAAAGACGCGGTCGAAAAAAAAGGTCTTCAGCGGAGACCTGAAAATGGGAAGGGCGGAGCGAGACGAAGGGAGTGAGAAGGAATATCACAGAATATACAGTAAAGTAGTCACTGTATTTTGTGAGCCAATGCATAATATACTACAAAATATTATTTTAAAAAACTCCTTCTCTCTCTCTTTTCCCCATCACCCCAAAACACACACACACACACACGTACTCACAAGGCTGGTGAAACTTACACGTTCCTGGTGTTATGTCGATTTCTGTCTCATCATTGCAAAGAATGAGTGACTGAGGCTGAGAAAGAGAAACCAACAGAGTTTGCAGGAGACCATAAAACGCCCTCTATGTCTCTCTCGCTCTCTCCTTTGTAGCTTTCAGATCAACTCTCTTTGCAACTTGAACCTTCTGGGTGGAGGAGTGGGGGAGAGAGAAAAAGTTTCAGAAAAGTTGCTAAAACTTTGCAAAACAGAGGAACTTTGCTGACAGCTGTTTGCTGATAAAAAATAAGAATGTGTGGAGGAGAGTAGAGTGCTGCACTGGGTGTCTTTGAGCTCGGTAAACTCTTAGCAAGTAAAACTGATCAGAAAAGCCTGCTTCCTGGTGTTCAGGGCTGGACTAACCCATTGCAGTGACAGGCTTTAAACACCGGCCCAATTTGAATTGATTTACTAAAGCAGGTGTTAAGGAAATCCGACATGCAACTTGGTTTTTAAGGGCATCCAACTCTCAACCGCGCTTAAAGCCTATCGAAAGGCAAATTACTGAAGTTGCTGGCAATCTGAAATAAGAACAGAAGTCACTAGAAACATTCAGCAGGTCAGGCAGCATCTATGAAGAGAGAGAGAGATGACAAAGAAGATCTGAAACGTTGACTCACTTTCCTCTCCATAGATGCTGCCTGACCTGTTGAGTGTTCCTAGTGACCTCTGCTTTTATTCCTAACGCCTGCCATTTGTACACCAGCCAACTACTTTCTCCATGGAGGGTGTGCAAACCAATTTGCGTTTCCTCTCTCTCACACTCTCTCTCTCGCCACTGCGTCAACTTAACAACCGCCAGGAAGTTACTAACTGTAGGCATTAGATCATGTGTGGTAAGATATTGCAGAAAATGTAATAAGCTGTTTCACAGTCCCTGTAGCTCAGGGGTTAGACCCCTCGCCTCGCAAGTCACAGTCCCTGTAGCTCAGGGGTTCGACCCCTCACCTCACAAGCCACAGTCCTGTAGCTGAGGGATTCGATCCCTCACCACGCAAACCACAGTCCTATAGCTGAAGGGTTCAACCCTTCGCCTCGCAAACCACAGTCCTGTAGCTCACCTCACAAACCACAAACAGTCGTGGATTGAGGATCAAATATTTTTTTGAAGGGCTTGAAGGGCTTGTTACCCCCCAGAAAGTGATCCTCCAATCGACTAACAACCAGGTTCCTAGCTACTACTAGGTGAACAGAGGTATAGGGAAACTTGCCTAAGGTTTTGCTCACCCTGGGAATTGAACCCGGGTCTTCTTGTTTGTGAGATGAGTGCTGTAACCACTGAGCTACAGGACTCCAGAAATGTAACATCCCAGAACGAACCTTTTTAATTTCTGCTCAATGCTTCTCTTGCACTCTCTAAGGTACCCGACTTGCTTTGAATATGACTTCATGCCCTGGTTTTGTGCAGGAACTGGGACCGAGTTACACAAGTATTTGTAAGTGTCTTTGTTTCAAAACCTCTTTGACCTTTAGATTACACATGTGAGCCGCCAGGGAGTGGCTTTGTTCTAACTAACCAGCTGATAAGTGATTTGGGAAAAGTGAAGGAGCATGTGAATGCTACCGAGTGGCGTGGATACGCACCAGCGAGGGAGGGAGCACCACAGGTACACAAAACCCTCAAACATTCCAGTCACTGCCCTGGAAAGCAAACAGCAACCACAAAATTGCATTTATGTGGCGCCTTTTACTTCGGAAAGGACATCCCGAGGCGCTGGACAGTCCCGGGCATGGTCAAGCAGGAAAGTCTTGAGATGAGCCTTGAAGGAGGCAGGGGAGGCAGTGGCATTTATGTTATATATAATAACATATACAGTATATTACATGTTATTAGATATAACACTAGTAGACATAAAGCCCCCACCTCCCGAAGACAAGCTAATGCCTTTGCTCAGTTCTGAAGCGATCTACCACATGATGGGAGATCAAGACGGAGGAATGTTTCAGTCAAGTAACCACGGTGTCTCGGGCTTGCTGTATCACGCCAGGCTTTCAGTGAGAGCAACGATCTGACTGGCCACATTCAGCCTTGCTCAGTCATGCAACCACCAGGAATTTCTCAGTTGCCCTGATTCTGATCAGCCCACCTTGGCACTCCCATCCCTCTCTCGATCAACAAATTGGATTGCAACATAAACAATGATAAAGTTCACAGCATCTCAGGAGAGGATCGGATGCAGAAGGCCCTTTAGCCCATTTAATACCATTTCACTATTACAGCTCAATAGCTGGGGGGTGGGGGGGAGGGAAAGATGACTGAAAGCGCAGTCAAACGGATAGTTTTGAGACAGACCTTGAATGAGGGGAGGGAGCAGGTTAGAAAGACTCTGGGATAATAATAATAATTCTTGCATTTGATAGAGCGCTTTTGGTTTGTTACACACGATATATAAAACAGGTCCAACGGCACACAAATACACAGTCAAACCGACATTATATTCTGTGAATACAATATGTTCTGTGAACTGCTTCGAGGCATCTCAATGACTTGATAAGGCGCTATATCAAATTGCAAGCATTATTATTATTAATAATAAAAGTGACAATGGGGGTAAGGGGGTGTCAAACAGTAGCAAACTACTGTCTGCTGTATTTTTCTATAAAAACAGTCACCACGCTTGACAGTAATTACTTGAAGCAATTTGAGACAAGTCAACACGATTAGGGTAAAGTACTATAAAAGTGCATTTTTTTTTACTTTTAATAAGTCATGTTTGTGCTTTGCTGTCAAGGGTTGAAAGCACAACAGCTCCCATGTGTCTCACACAAACATTGCTGACACTAAGACCCAGTGTCAGTGGAGATGACGGCTATGGGATTTACATACTTCTTATTCATTACATCCAAACATAGAAAGGTTTGGTTTGAACTAAGAACCAGCAGAAAGCACACTGAACATCCAGTACATAAATAGCACTGAGGCACACAACTGCAGCTCCAATGCGCTTACTCCCTGTAATTAACCCACTGAATACAGTGTAAACGCTGACTCACACACTTTGAGTTTAAACAGGTTTCCAGGTATCCAATTACTTGTGTTTAGATTCTTTATAAATCACGTAGAGCTTCGTGCATTGGGAGTGTGCACGTGTGTGTATATGCATGTGAGTTTGTGTGGGGGGAGGGGGTGGGAAGCAGCAGAAGTATTCATTGCTTCTCGTAGATATTCCTAGTCAGGATATAATAATAATAATAATAATCCTTGCATTTGATATGGCACCTTATCATGTCATTGAGACGTCTTAAAGCCTTCACAGGATATACTGTAAAGTGAATTGACTTGTGTACTTTTATTTTAAACGGGAGTAAGATAGCTTCTGGCCTCTGATTGTTAGTTCTATCCAATGCCTTGTCCCCGCTCCTGAAGACGCTGCTGGGAGCTGATCCTCCCCTGTCCTGCAGTGACTTTGGTAGCGCAGCACTGGCCCATTGGTTATACCAGGAACTGAGCCTCTCCCTTAACATCAGGGTAACAGAGAGACACTTACTGACCAAGTTTAAGTTTCCAGGCTTCTGACCAACTTTCCACAGAGTTCCACTGGTAAATAATGATGCCTTCAGAATAGCTCACGGCATTAACCCTTTAAACCCAAGATTGACCCCAGGCCAGGAATAAATGTTGCAGAAATGGTCTCTTTACACCGGGAGCTTAATCTCCCCATCACAGCCATCGCAAACAGACTTCAATGTCTCCACTTAGAGCCACGATGTGCTCTACACAGCTACTACACTTATGCAACGTAGTAGATCCCTGACTGTCCAGCGCTTTGGGACATCCTCCCAACGTGAAAGGCGCCATGTAAATGTAATTGTTGCTGTTGTTCACACCCTACATTGGGAGTCTGAGCTCAAGGTTTATTCTGCAGTATGGGAGGGGGAGCGCTGTTTTGTTGGAAGTGCTTTCCTTCGGATGAGAAACTGAGATCCTATTTGCCTTTTCAGAAGAATGCTAATCGTACAGCAACATCAGTGGAGTCCTATGGTTCAGTATTAGAGCACTCACCTCACAAGCGAGAGACCTGGGTTCAATCCCTGGCAGGGCGAAAAGTTGGGCAAGTTTCCTTACTCCACACGCCTCTGTTTACCAAACAGTAAGTAGCACCCCGGTTGTTAAGTTAATTGGCCGATCGCTTTTCCGGAGGTAATAATTTTTTCAAAAAATAATAATAATAATAAATTGGTCACTTCAATCCACGACTGTTTGTGGGACATTGCTGTGCGCAATTGGCTGCTGCGTTTTGTCCACAAAATATAGAGCTAATTCACTTTACACTATATTCTGTGAAGTGCTTTGAGACGTCTCGAATACGTGATAAGGCGCTATATCAAATGCAAGGGTTATTATTGTGACATCTTCCCAAATGAATACACTCCTGGGAAGTTCTTGTAAATCTTTGCATGAGAATTTATGGAAGAGAAGGGAGATTCTCTCGGTGGCCTGGCTAACAATACTCTGGGTAAAATTGGTCAGTCGTCTTAACAGCTGATTGTGTGACCTTGTTGTGTGCAAAATTGCTACACACAAAAAAAGTCTCAACAATGATGACTGTGAAACACTAGGAATTTCAGTGCAAAAGGAACCTAGAAAGTGCTGTCTGGCGTGAATTTAAGATCCTGTCATATGTCCTGTCAAGCTGCCTCCTACCACCCCCCTCCACCTCGTCCACAGGCAAACACCCACACAGACCTTCCATAGCACAACACTATTACCACCTAAAATCCTGCCTCACCCTTTAAACATTTCTACTTCCTGTATCTATCTATCCGTTCCATTCTTGAGTCTCTCAATCAGTTTCTCAACTGTGCATTTCTGGGCTATTACGTTTGAAAATGCTTTATCACTCTCTACTGGTAGACCTTATCTGAGTGTTAATGCCTTTGGCCTAATTTTAAAGTCGTGTCTTGTCGATACAGTTTGACTCACCAATACACACAGTTGCACCACCAAACCTAGAACTCTCTCCCTCAAAAGACTGGATGTTGGATCCATTCAAATTTTCAAGACTGAGGTGGATAGATTTTTGTGAGGGTATCAAGAGGATATGAGGCAAAGTCAGGAAATTGGAGTTGAGGTATAGATCAGCCATGATCTAAAAGAATGGCAGAACAGGCTCAAGGGGCTGAATGGTCTACTCCTCTTCCTATGTTCCTATGTTCCAACTCTGTGAGTTACACATGACAATAAATATCCTTCTAGTACGGTGAGATGTCTCGATAGGATAAGGTGCTGTAAAAATGTAGACCTTCATGATAGAAGATGGTTTGCAAGATGTTCTATGGCAGTGCGCAAATGAGTATAAACTTGT